CCATGGGTCAAAAGTTGTTGTTATTGAAGCTTCGCGCCAACCGAAAGTGACCAACAAAAAAAAAAAAAAAAAAAAAAAAACCTTCCAATTGGCCGTCAGCCGGGAAAAACCGCTCGCCCGACTCGTAAACATCATCACAGTTGATGTGGAGAGTATTCGGCGGCCGTTTTGCGTCACCCGGGGCCACACGGTGATCAAAAGCCCAGCCTCCAAGCGTAACGCTTGGCTAGTGGGTCGAGGCCCCTCCTCCTCTCCTTAACACTGGCATGCCCGTGCAAAGAAAGTTTCCCGCCAAAATCTTTTCAATCGATTGGGGGTGTGATATGTCAAGCTTTAATAGCATAAGACACAGTAAATGGCCTTGAGATCCGAACGTGCACCACCACATCAGAACACAGAGAATAGGAAGAAGGAGATAGAAGATAAGGAAGATAGAGGAAGAAGAGAGGGGAAAGCAAACCAAACCAAGGAATAGACGAGTGTCCCGAACGTGACTTGTTGTAACGAAAGAATGAACATGAAGCACAGATTCGGGCAAAAAATCATTCGATAGGCGTTAAGACCCGACCGGTTTCGCCTGGCCGCCAACCAGGACTTATCAGGGGTCTAAGTCACTTAAAGGACACTAACCTAAGACCTACTTATATACGACCAGACCCTTAGAAAACAACCAACTGCGCCCTGCACAAACCAAGCGTCATCCGAACACTAGCCACGATCCAAAATTTTTAACAATCCTTCAACAGTTCGAACCTTCGTAGAAAGGCAAAAATGAAAAAACAAAAAAAAACTAAAAAGGAAACAGGTCATCGGTACGAACCCCGAGAACACCATAAAAAAAGGGGGAACCATGTAGAGCATCAAAAACAGAGTCCACAGCAGTAACCTGTGAGTCCGACCTCAAAAAGGACCAAGTACCAGAAAGGACCCCACAGAGGACCGACAACTCGTCGACAGCAGTAACCTGAGGAACCATGAAGGACCGAATAGAACCTCCACGCGTAGAAACCCAAAGTCGCCAAGACGAAGTAACCGAACCAGCTACCCATTCGTACGATCGAAGCACGAAACCACATTCAACACAGGCGAGTAAAAAACAACAAATCTAACTAAGCTAACAGATGTCTTCACCAACTCTTCATCATCACAACGGTCGAATCCACAGCTCCCTATCATCGGGAGCAAGGCCAGAGGCCAGAACAAGTCACAGCAAGCGACCCCAGTTAGTCAAAATCAGCAGCCATTCCGACCATAACCCACCAAATTTCTTCGAAAAGTAAGTCAATGCTGAGTCAAAGTACCCATCTGGATAACCTCGTTTCCACACCTCTTATTTCAGAGAGAACACAAAAGGAACCACCATGCCTTCAACGGAGGAGTATGGTTTTGCTCGATGAAGAAAGGAAATAATCACCGCCATCTTCTGCTGTCGATTAGAAAAAGACACGTAATCCTGAATACATTGAAAAACCACCGTTCCATTGACTTTCTCACTTTGATTCTTCATTAGGGGGAAGCACATTACCCCCTTCTTCCCTTCGGACACCTGGAGCGCACATCCAAGAAAATCCCAGCATTGACCAATATTAGTCTGCTCGAGAATGAGATTATCATCGTAACACCGTCTAAATGTATCGATCAGGCCCAAAGCCTTAACGTAAGAACACTCGTCATCCTTCCTACACTTGACAAACACCGAGACATCGTCCACAAGTCGGAAACCCCGGAACAAACGCTGGTCAACCCCCAAGCTGGTCAAAAAGACAAATTCATTAAAAACGCAAAGTAAGCAAGCTAGCGCTGGACTCAAAGATTTCCCCATGGGTATCCCAATCTCCTGTCGTAGCAACTGTTCGGAAGCCCAAACCAAAGTATGCTCAAGCTCGAATGAAATTAAATCAAAAATTTTCACCAAAGAGAGACTCCTCCACCCAACCTCACACCGCCCAGTAAGCAACTTGACTCACTTTCCCTGCTTACGAATCCCAACAGCAGACACACCCTTCTCGTTCCAAAAATCAATCACCCAGGATAACGCCTTCAAGATACAACGGAAAATTGTCCTAGAATGAAATTATCATTCTGTAGTAAAATTACAATCTAAATTTTAAATTTTCATTCCATCTTAAAAAATATCATTCCAATTTTAAAATTTTTCATCTTACTTGCAAACTTTCATTCCAAGAATAGGGTATCACTTCTTATTTGGATTGCATGCTAGAGATGGAATGAAAGTCTGGATGAGTTCATGAAATATTTTAATTGGATTGTCATTCTAAGTAAGGATTTTCAATCATAAATAGGTTAATCCAATCTAAATTAGGAGATATTTGTTGTAGTCTAGGCTACCAGAGTGGTCCGGGGTTACTTGCCCGACCGGGCAAAAAAGATTATAAAAATAAAAATAAAAATAAATTTGGTAAAGAATTTCGATGTGACCTTGAGGCAAAAGTTGTTCAGTTTATTTTTCTACATAGCATAGTATGTTTTCGTATTTTTTGGAGTTTTTTATTTTTTTGCTGGGACCTTCCCTTGTCCTTGCACGGGCCGGCCAGCCGGGACCCGGGCGGCCCGGCTGGTAGCCTAGGTTGTAGTAGAATAAAAATTTAATTAAAACATTTCATAAACTCGTCTAGAATTTCATTTCATCTTTGAACAAATAGATGTAGTTGGAAGGGAAAACTCATATTTAGACGGAAACTTATCAAATAAAACTGGAAATTTTAGAATTGGATGAACATTGGAATGATAATTTATAAATATGAAGGATTTTTTTTTTATGGAATGTTTTTTCAACTTTCATTTCTCGTGGGAATTTTTCTGTTGTAGATTTATGTGGCAAGTTGGAGAACATCTCCTTAATGTCGAAGGAGGCACCTACCATATAGTCTTTCTCAGTCAGTCCTCGATTCACAGACTTAATAGCAGTCAGTAGACGATCATCACTTCTCAGATTAAAATTCGAGTCAACCGGCAAATTCCACAACATAGCGGTAACGACCCGGGAAGCCACACAACCACCAACTGCAGAACATTCAGAAAAAGACAGACAGATAGGCCGCCGCCGGGAGATATCCTTATGCTTAGATAGGCAATACGCTGAACCAAATTTCCCTGACTTCTTCCATTGACCAACACTCTACAACCCGTTCGCACAATACTTAATTCTGCAATCCTCCAAGACTGACTCCACTTCATCATTGCATGAGAGAAAAGACGGATTCTCGCCAAACAGCTCACACATTCCCTTTCGATACAACGTAGGGCAACATACATAGGAATCCCCCGGATTGTGGTCGATAGGGCAACATACCAACCCGCGAAGAAGAAAAAGAAAGATATTTAATTCGTCCTCACAGATAGTAGACTCAGGAATAACCTCATTACCTGGATCCGTCAGACAACCACGAAGAAGATCAGGAGGAACAGAATCAGGAACAGGGAGGGAGGAGTGAGACTCAAAACCAGACAGAATCTGGGAGCGAAGAAGAGAGACTGAGCGAACACGAGACGGGCGAACCACATTCCTGGAATTGCGAAACCAGGAGGGAAAAACATCAGGCAAATCATTGATCCTACAGGAGACATGGCCATCGATACGTGGGAGCAACTCATGAGCACCAGCGCAAGGGCAATTAGTGGAACTAGATCTGGCAAAAAGTCTGAAATTATGAATAAAATCCCCAATACTTTGGTTGCGGCGCCACACAATGCGCAGTCGACGAACAAGCATCACCTTCCATCCCTCCCGAATACCCAGATTACTAATAAGGTGTGAGCACAACTTCCGCACATTTGCCTTGCAAATCCGATAGTCATACACAAGCTTAATGACTAACCTCTGCCTAATATAAAGTCCAAACTCGAGCATTATATGCCGCGATAAGATACAGCGTAGCCGAAAACGAGTCCGCTTCTCGCTAAAGGTACGAATAGCCGTGTACGCAGCAATGACCAAATCAAACTCCCTCGTCCTCAGCTCCGCACGTTTGTTGGGGTTACTAAGAAGGTTAATCAGTGGACCTTTAAGAGCGAGAGAACGACTAAGAAAAGGAATAACAGGATCGAAAGTCAACACGACACCACCCTTCAGCCAACCTCGGGAATATCGAAGCTCCTGCTTCCCAAAATGACACTCAACCAGGATTCCGCCATACAGCCGCTTCAAGACCTTCCATCGATCAACCAAATCATCCCCACCCACACAAGAAACCACGATGCGATGAACACCTTTATCCTTGCAACGATTCAAAATCTTAAGCAAACTGACCGACTGAAAACCATCGGCCACACATAACGAACAGAGGGAGCAGCAAGATGGACCAACTTTAGACAATGCAACAGCACACTCCCCAACCTTCCGTTTCTTCCTCAGCCTTTCCTTGAGACCAGCACGTTTCCTACGAAATCTCTTGGGTTTGTCTCGCACATTGAGGGCAGGGGAAAACAAACGAATAAAGAACTTCTCTGTTTCCAACAAATCATCCGCAGAACAGCGACATAAAGGTAGAATAGCATAAGTGTGCGCACCACATCTCTGAATCCACCGATAAAGCTTTTCATTACGTTTACCACCGTCTATCACTTTCGATTGGCATGCTCTATAGACGTGCTCTCTCCACCGTGTATGGAGATCACGGGCAGTACTACCTATATAGAAATGACACGACCATGGAGACACAAGGGCATACACCAGAGGACCATCCCACTCATCAACCGTATCAGAACCCCGGACCAACGGGAAGAACCCTAACAACTTATCGACCCACGGAATCGCATTCAACAGGATCAAACTACAAATAGTAGTACTAAACAATAGATTAACATCCTTGTTACGCAGCCAATCAATCGAGACAGCACGAAGTCAACAACAAAAACGGACTACAAGGCACAAAAATGTCGCGTCCGGGCGTGATCCTAAGAAGTAGCGGAATCACGCCCGTCGCTCGATTTAGAGTTCTCCCCTCTGTCATCCGTCACCTCAACCACAGTGTCTTCCTTACCTTTCCCTTTACTATCGTCAAGATCGACTCCAACTGCCCTGTTGGCACGCCCTTGGGCGATCGCTTCCTTGGTGGGATCAAGCGTGGTGTATTCCACACCCTCTTTGTCGCAAATATCAATAACCTCCTCCTAGGCTTACGTTTTCCACGTAACTCCTTTCGAGCAGCTCGTAAGAAAACATCCCTCTGCATGGCATGGTCAACCAAGTCAACAGCAGTTTTTCCCTTCGTAGTAGGTACGACAGCTTCATCCATCTTCCTCCTAAGATCCGTACCCTTCGAATGCCTGCCGGTGTTGAGTCTTGCCATCTCATTCTTCAGTCTATCAACCTCGTCCTCCGACTCCTTCCTGGCCTTGACCTCTCGGGCGCGCATCTCCTTAAGGAGTTCCACCTCACGTTGGTGCCTTTCTACGATGTCCTTCGGCTGGATATTGACCCTTCCACCAGAGCACGGTGGAACCATAGGGGTAATCCTTGCCTGAACCTGAGCATCACTGACAGGAGTGTGACCGATAGCCACGCTGGCACGTTTGTTGCTGGGGCGAAGAGCTTCATTCCTCCATACGTCAGCATTCGCCTCGGCCGCTTCGCATTGTTTTTGAAGAGCAAAGATGACTTCCTCCAAGGTAGCCAGACGCTTGTCCGTAGCAGCCTTCACATCAGCATGTTCCTTCCTAAGACGTGCAGCCTCCTCGGCTTCGCAGGTGGTCTGGAAAACAGCGGCAGAAGTACTAGCAACGTCCTTTCCACGTTTCAGTTTCTCGACTTCAGCTCGTAATTTAGTAACCTCATCACTATCCACCTCCTTGGACTCCTCAACACCTCCCAAGTTATAGCAACGTCGTGTGAGTACTTCAACTTGCGCACGGAGCTTCCCCACCTCATCGTCACCACCGACCTTCTTGGCATTGACCGCTTCGCATACTTTATCGAGTTTGGATGCCATCTCTTTGTGCATCATCCTCTGGAGATCTTCATGTTCCTTCTTTTCCTTCATTCTTCTCTCCTCATCTTCTTTTTCACGCGCCTTCCGATCCTCATCTTCACGTTCTTTCTTAACTTTGGCCTCATCAGCCTCGTGCTTACTATTAATCCTTCCTACTATCTCCTCTAGTGAACTAACTCTCCGTCCCAACCCACTGCCACCCGCCCCTTCATTGTAACCAGAGTAATAAGGTACGGCAGTTCCCACGTTCGACGCAGGTGGCACAGTCAGCAGCGGTTGAGCAGGTACGATTGTCGTGGAAGTCTGAGCTCCATTCAGCCTTCGATCCGAAAGCGGACAAAAACGAGATATATGACCCGGTTGACCACGATTGTAGCAATTGTGATTAGCAGGCAGCATCGGATTACCATTGAACGCCATATTCGATGTCGAAGCCACGCGCCCGTAGTATCACTTCTACCACGGTTACTTCGTGAGAAAAAGATATGTCAAGCTTTAATAGCATAAGACACAGTAAATGGCCTTGAGATCCGAACGTGCACCACCACACCAGAACACAGAGAATAGGAAGAAGGAGATAGAATATAAGGAAGACAGAGGAAGAAGAGAGGGGAAAGCAAACCAAACCAAGGAATAGACGAGTGTCCCGAACGCGATTTGTTATAACGAAAGAATGAACATGAAGCACAGATTCGGACAAGAAATCATCCGACCGGCGTTAAGACCCGATCGGTTTCGCCTGGCCGCCAACCAGGACTCATCAGGGGTCATAGTCACTTAAAGGACACTAACCTAAGACCTACTTATATACGACCAGACCCTGAGAAAACAACCGACCGCGCCTTGCACAAAGCAAGCGTCATCCGAACACTAGCCACGATCCGAAATTTTTAACGATCCTTCAACAGTTCGAACCTTCGTAGAAAGGCAAAAAGGAATGCCTTTCTCCGCCTTTTGGCTAAGATCAAGTGTAGTTTCTGTTCTGATCAGTTTAATATCTGATTCGTGGTCTATCGGACCACACGATATTAAATTAATTTTTCTGGGCTACGGAGGGGTCATATGGGTAGGCCTGCCTGCTCGACCCTTCCAGCGTTGCCTCTGTATTGCACTGCAGCAGAGTGTGGCGCAGCCCTATAAAAAAAAAAAAAAAAAAAAAAAAAAAAAAAAAAAAGGCAAAAAGGAAAAAACAAAAAAAGACTAAAAAGGAAACAGGTCATCGGTACGAACCCCGAGAACACCCTAAAAAAGGGGGGAACCACGTAGAGCATCAAAAACAGAGTCCACAACAGTAACCTGTGAGTCCGACCTAAAAAAGAACCAAGTAACAGAAAGGACCCCACAGAGGACATCAAACACAGGGGTGTGGCCAACCCCAAAAGAGGGTGGGGTTGGCCTTAGGCCCACTGGATATAAGATTTTCAGTGTTTTACTTGCTGTTGTGCAATTATCTGATTGGATGAAGCCCTCCTTCAATCACGGAGTACATGGAGGGTGTCAGGATCACTGCTGAAAGAAGTCAAGTTTATTCCAGAAAATGTGGCGGTTACTTTGTTCAAAAAAAAAAAACAAAAAATACAACAACTGGCCTAGCTCAGTTGGTACACCCCTGAACTGTTGAAATACAGACCTGAGTTTGAAATCCGCCGGATGCTGATGAGTAAAATACTACAGCTCTGAATTACCTAGGGCGGGTGAGTTTGATGATGATGCAAGGAACATGAATGTGGACGAAGCAAAGAAATCCCAATTGCAAATCACACTGAAGTCCAAGCAGTCAAAGCAAGAGCAGATAACACATTGGAACCAAGCAACCATCCATTTGAGAACGATACAGCAAAAGTTGTGAGTCAATGTCCAAGTCTAATCGGGCAACACCAACAACATAACCCGAGGTAGCCCTCTCTCTTGAATTGCGCCAGGCTCCCTATCTACTCTACAGCCTATCCTACAACTACAGTCATGGAAGCAACCGGACGACTTGACGACAAGCTAGTAATGACGTCAACACCAATGCCGACCTCCTCTTCCACCAGGTACGCCACTCTCTCTTGTCCCTCACTCTCCCTTGTTATCCCACACAACGCCCTTCACCTCCCGAAGAACCACCTTCGCCCTCACCTCCTCCAGCGCTCTCATGCAGCCTGGCTATGGCTGCCAGCGCCCTGCGCCCAGGCTGCACCCTACCGCTTAGCGCCAGCCTTCCTTCTCTCAGCCTAGCGTAGCGCAGCACACTCGCAATGCAACAGCGTGCCGACCTTGCTCGCAATGGCCAAGATCCTCGCCCACTCGCCTGCTCTGCCTATATGCCAGTATTGCGTGTGGGCGGTCTACCTTGAGCCTGCGTGTGGGCCCCAGTACCTGCACCCAGGCCCAATGCAGATTGGGCCCAGGTAATAGAGTTGCGCCCCTTATGCTAGGGCCGTTGTCCAGCGTCAGACCCCGTACCGGGTTCCCATCTTGGCCTCTACGACGAAATACTGCTTTTCCATAGGCCAGGGACCAATGTGTGATGTGTCGGCCTCCCAGACTGTCGCCCAGGGCTCAACCAACCCCGGCCCTGGGCTCAACCGCCTGTGCAGGAGTAGGAGGCTCACAATGTTCAACCAAGTAACGTGCGGCAACTGTCTGATACCCACTTTGGGAAATGCTGCACGAAGGCCTCTTGTGGATATTTTGGCCCGCCTTCACTTAGGGCGGGCACGAGGCTTGCTGGGGTCCTATGCCCAGAACATATGCATGTTGGCAAGGCCCCGTTGAGGGCTAAATCCTCACAATGATATCTCAAAAGGAGAAAAGACTGTCAGAATCACCGAAGAAACAAGCAACAGGTTTCTGCCCTCCAAAAGTTGTGGTGAGGGGCGGTGGTCAATACACGGGAAATATACTGGTGGTTTAACAGACACTGTCAGCCTGACCCTCCCCATCCTACCCCCCCCCACCCCCTTCTCTTCCCAGTCCCAGCCTGCAGCATTTTACAACGAGACTGCAGTCCCTCCTCTCCCCATAACACCCCTCTGCAGACCCCCTCCCTGCCACCGTCATCATGACTTCCCCCCTGATTCGCCCTCCCCCCCAGAAACATGCCTGCCAGCAGGGGGTAGAGCAAGGAGACTGCCTGCGTAACGACAGTGCATACCAAGAAGAAGAAGCTACATAAGGAGACACAAACAAGAAAGGCAAGGATTTCGGAACAGGTCAGCTGCACACAAGACAACCCTCAGACAGGGCCTGTGTTGCATACCGTATAGGTGCAGACCAGAACAAGAACTGACCTTTCAATACAAAGTATAAGATAGCACAGCGGAAGACTTAGATACCAGTGATCCGAACAATCAATGTTGTAATGCAGCCCTGAACATACATCATCATCATCGTTCCATAGTGTGAATGGGTCTGCCGCTTTGCACAGGAAGACAGCGCCAGCCCAGAACATGCACAGACGAGGAGGAAGGGGATAGACGAAGAGGAGGGGGAAGATGGGAATGTCGTCAACACCAAGTCTTCGGCACAAGCCCAAATAGTCCCTCGTCAAACTGTCTGAATCCCAAATGTCAAGTCTGGATCCAATGTCGTCAAGTCTCAAGTCACAACTCTGTCTCTCTCTGTC